ACACACACACACACACACACACACACACACACACACACCTCCCATACACTTCTTCGGTGGTAGGCACATACACGAAGGAGCATATCCCGTCTTCTCAGATTTTTAAATGTTTCTTTAGTGTGAACGCGAGCTCAAATTTGCAAGTTTTCCTCATCACCACTATTGTTTACTTTAACCTCCAGATGACCGGGAGGACAAAGATTACTACCTGCGGCCCGGCCATGATATTAACTTCCTCGCGGAGACAGGACTCCTCTGGCAATTTACCGGTGAGACGTGTACGCGACCTATCCCTCCCCCCAGTTTGGTTGCCGAAATGGCCGGAGGTGTGTTCACAACAGCTTTTGGCATCATGCTGTCGCTGTATGAACGCGAGGAGACTGGAAAAGGCAAGGTGAGTTGGCGAAGTTTTTTTTCCGACGACCAAGCTGTTTTCGCATCAGGTATCACGGGTTCTAAACTGCCCCCTTTTTATTCGGTTTCGGTAGATTATTGACGTCAGCATTGCTGACGGAGTCTCCTACGTTTCTTCGCACTTTTTGGCCTCGCGTCAAGTTAGTCAGCAAACCTCGACTGCCACCTTTTCTTCAGCGCTGTGGCCCAATATTGCCAAACAGTGTGCCAATCTGCTCGATGGTGGGGCTCCTTTTTACCGGACCTATGAGACGAAGGATAAGAAGTACATTGCCGTAGGCGCCATCGAGCCACATTTCTACGCCAATCTACTGAAGGTTCGTTCCTTTAATTTTAACATATTATTGTTGCCATTGCTGAGGAGCGCCAGTTGACCGACCGGCCCGGACTAGCGCATGGGGTGAGAAAACAGAGAGAGAAAGGTTCCCTCTGAGAACCCTATGTTTAGAACAACTGGAAAATTAATTACTATGATAAATGTGGCGCCTTTTAAAGGTGTCACGATGCGCTAAAAGTCGTGTTTTGTGTTATGACCCGCGCCTGGTACTGCTAATTAAGTCGAACGCCGAACCAAAGAACCCCTAAGAGTGAGACAGAGAGAAGACCGGTTGGTCAGAGAGAGGTAGTTTACTAAGACAAGCACGCTACAGCAAGTCTTTGTGTGTGTCACAGGTCCAAAAAATTTAGGGCAACAAACGACGGTGAGCTAGGTCCATTGGGCCAATCAGCTTTTGGCTGCCGGCGTCATTGACTGGGGCTCGGCAGCTGAAATTTTGAATTGTCGATTGATGTGAATGCAAGTTGTGTTTGCTGCCTGTGGCCGATCGATGGCCTACTGTGCGCGCGCCGCTTGCGCAGGCTATCTATGCGTTACGCGTCTGCTAACAGAGAAATCATGGGAATGGGCGCATTCCCAGCAGTTTGGAACTCTAACAACCGACGGGGTGACTCGGTCCTCGTAGGTAATACTGTGAACGTACGTGGGATGACCGGCTCAATGGCTCCTTCCTACTCTGGCCTTTATGGTTCTCGCGTGTAAGTGAGATCTGAGACACTCCTCCCTGGTTCTTGGAAACTGGTACATTGTGCACACGTAAAGGAGCTATTGAGTTTTGTAAACTTTGTTGAGCTTTCACTTGGCCCACTGATCTCGACTATGCTGATGATATCGGCCTGTTAGCCCCAATCTTTGGTGATCTACACTCTGTACTGTCACAGGTGAATGACACCACTACGTCGGTTGGCTTGTCCATAAATACGAGGAAAACCAAGTTATTCTCGATCTGCGTCTTTGATCAGGAAAAGGCATCCCTGGGGATTGGTGACCATCAACTTGAAGAAGTAGATAGCTTTAAATATCTCGGGGCGAAGCTGCTGCCGAATAGGTAGAGTAAGAACAACCTTGTCTCCCGCATCGATGCTGCTCGCTGGGTTTTCTCAACCCTTCGAACGCGTCTATGGATCCGACGCAAAATCTCTATCGCCACGAAGATTCGTGTATACCGTGTATCCATCCGATCAGTCCTCCTCTATGGATGTGAATGCTGGGCTTGATGCGTTGTAGGTGGACAAGGACTGGAGTTTTTTGACCACCGCTGCCTAAGAACCATTCTTCGAGTCAAGTAGACCGACTGCATCTCGAACAAGGCAGTCCACACTCGCTGCGATAGTATCGCGAGAATATCTCAGAACATCCAAGAAAAGGACTGACATGAGTTGGGCACGTTCTTTGTTGTCCACATCAGGAACTATATATATATTCTATTCTATATTGCCACCTCTGCACGAGATGGCTAGTTGTCTAGTATGCATTCGTCTCAGTAATCTTCGATGTATTCCATAATTTCAAATATCTTTTTTTGAAAACAGGCACAAACCATTACGTTTGCTTGGAAGTGATATTAGCATCATTGATGCCTCTTTCACAAAGAATAGGACTTACAGCAACTGGCGTGTCGATTCCCAAATGCAATTGTGAAAGTGAACGTAGTTAATAGTGAATGGTTGGTGCTATTAATTCTTATTAACGTGAAATTCAACAGGCGATAAGACCCCCGCTTAAGGAAGTTGACTGTTTTAGTACGTCTAGCTGACGACAATGGGTTGTGAAACTCGTCTTAAATACCTCAGAAACATGACTTATTTTTAATCTGTGTGTTTGTGTGTGTACATCTTATAGGAGCTTGGCGTTCCCCCAGCCACGGCACCACAGATGGATCGCATTGCCTGGCCGCGGATCTCCGCCCTCTTCTCAGGTATTTTTATCACCGAAACCCGTGAATACTGGATTAGCCGGAAGAACTTGGTACAGTCCGCCTGCGTGAGTCCTGTCTGGAGTCCGGAGGAGGCAATCGCAAACCGACCGGCGCACACAATGCGCCACATGCGTTTCTCTGTTTCGCCCCTGTCAGGCGGCGCTAAAAATAAGAATTTCTCTGTTCTGGTCCCCTCCTTGTGTCCGCTTCTCTCGGACTTTCCTGCCGAGGACAAATGAACGTATGCAATCTGCTGTCGCGAACCCCTGCATTATCCAGCTCCCCCCTAGATTGTTGCAGCGCAGAAAATTAAACTATTGCATTTCATTTTCTAGCGTCAGGTACCCTTCACACATTCATTTTTTTTCTTTTGAGCTCTCTTTGGTGTTAACATCTTTACTATATACTATCTGAACTGTCATATCACTCCTCCTCCTTTCTGAAGCATTTTGTCTTTTTTGATCCGTTTGGTTTGTATATTTTTCGAAATATTAAGTTGTTGACGTAACTAAAAGTTTTTTGTCATCGACAACTTTTTTTCTCCTCCTCTTCATGTGCTTGCCTGGGGATTGTTTGTAAGGATTTCATAGTTTTTTTTTAACTCTTCCTTGTCAGCTGTTTGTCCACTTTTTCTACGTGACCGCAGTCCCTGCCTCCCTCCCCTTAGTGTCAGCTTCTAACCCCATTCAGCCTACACTACTTGGTTTTAACTAAAGCATTCGCTTCACCAAGTTGCATGCCGGTGGGAGTCTGATGTTGTTCGTGGCGGCTTTCTCACAGCCTTTCAATTGAGCATATTCTCGTCTAATTATCCGACAGGAGCCGTCCGTTGGGCTCTGCACTACAACAGTTGGCAATAACCTTGAAAATGACCAATGATAACGCTCCAAGGGTTCGGCTGCCCGAGTGCCCTAACAGTTTTATTATCCACATTGTGGAGTGGTAAAGCTTGACGAATTTATTATCGAATCTGCAAGGGACATTCCAGGATAAGAGCTCTTATTTGCCACAGAAGCTGGAGTTCGTTTCTTCTGTGCTGCTAACCGTTTTTAATCCGTGATTTACGGACCATTTTTGCCTGTTAGATATTGCTTTAATGCCGTCTATTTTCCAAATCATAAAAAATCGCCTAGGGTACTTACGGGTTATCTAGGTTGGAAACTCACACCGTCTAAATTTTCCTGCGCATTCAAATTTACCTCGGAGGGTTCCTATCCCTTTCCGTTGGATGCTTAAACGTTTTGCCCGAACTGCCAGGACGTGCCATTCGCAATCCTAACGGAGGTAATTTGTCTGCGACACTTTTCAGCGGATGAGACCAAGTTCCGTTAGTGGCTGGAGAGATGGAGTTACTCAATTCTAAGTATCGTGAGCCCTCTTAACTTTTCTGAACCAGTTCTGGGTCACGACCTACCCGATATTGAGACTAGTATTGATAAGTAGGGTACAAGAAGGAGGCTGTTTATTCACCGAATCTATTTCTTAAAAAAGTCAACAGTTATAAGGAGTCTTCTGTCAGCTTCCAAAGATAAACAGAGAAAATGGGTTTCGTTTGGACGATGGTCTAATCCAGCCCGTTCTAGTGTTGGCTTGATTGTTGCTAAAGTTGCCAGCATTCGGCTGCGTCATGCACGTAGTATCTGTTGTTGTGAGGGTAGTCGTCTTTATATGCCAACAGTGATTGCGTTGGCTTGGGTAGGCGTAGTTGCCTGTTTGGGAAAATGTGAGTTCCGGGGTGATAATTTGAGAAACTGAAGTTGCTGACGCTCTTGAGAGCTTGGTTGGAGTACAATGCCTACACGTTTGCTGTTTGTTTCCCGAATTGCCTCCCTTGTTAAGCTACAACTATCCGCTTATATGACTGCGTCCTACTTTTTGTCAGTTTCCAGATTTGCCTACAGTACTGCTCTCGTGGGTCTCTCATCGCCTGGTTGGCACCCGTTGTCAGTTTCAACGAAGTATCGGCAAAGTGTTACCGACAGAGACGAAGCCTGAGATGACCATTCGGTTTTATGTGTCGTAATTATTCACTGATCTCCCAAACCACTGGTCGGGCGTCTTTACTTCTGGCCTGAGTCAGTTGGCCGCTGTGTACTTTTCGCTATTACGCCCATCTGCGTGGTCAGTAAATGTGTGCCAAACTCTAAAACAGAAGGTAGTGGCCAATTTTAATCACACAGAATCAGAATAGACCGCAGAAGGCCTCACCTATCCGAGCGAATTGGCCACATCCCAGCCAACAATACGGACCCGTAGCCCATGTGGAGGAGCTTATGACCTAAACTGAAACGATATTCAGCCGAATCGGGCAAATATCCGCGGCTTGTTATGGTGGTTAAGCCAAAAGCGATCAGCACAGTGTCCCTTTGCTCACCACTTCGCGCGTGCGTGGGTGGCGGTTCGTATCATGTTTTAAAGGCAGGATTGTTATCAAGGCTTGCCTTCACATTGACCAGTCCTTGTTGTGCTGGTTA